CGAAAGTCCTATATTGGAAATATAATTCAAAGTATCAAAATTCTTCTAAAGTATTAACCAAAATATACTAAGAATAGGGTTAAATATATAATATAAAATCGACTCATCAAAATACCCCCAAACTTAGCTCTTTGCTTGTCCTCAAGCAAAACAAGACTCAAACAACAATAAAAACTTAACAAACTAGACATATGGCTAACACTTTAACCAGAACAAAATTTCCACCTTCAAGTTGCAATGCATAGCAAATTTTAAAAACTAGAACATCTTTTCAATAGATCCAAGTAATCCCACCACAGAGTCTAAGCTATTTAGAATCAATTAGAAAAGAATTCACAAACTTCCTTCGATGTAAAGTGAACCATCATAATTAAGGAGACTCGACTAAAACCCTTATCTCTCATCCCTTTTATTCATACTTCACATATTTTTTTTTATTTTTTATTTTTTCTCTTTTTTTATTATTATATTTTTTTTCAGTAACATTAGTGGTTGTGCAATGTTGGTTCCCTTAAGCTTTCGATCCAACCCATGTAGCGAGCTTTAGGTCAATGACTCCCAAACCACTAAGGCTTTAGGACACTAGGTGTAGAACACCCCTAAGGACTTATTAACTCAAGCTGAAACGGCTACGAAACCAACTAACCACCTTGCCTCATGCCAAAACTTTACCGTTTGTCTCGAGAATCACTACTGATTAGGCAGGACTGGCCCGGTTACTAGCAAAGCTTCGGGTGAGGCAATTATTACTTTACAACACATACTAACTTTATTTTTTTAAAAAGAGCAAAAATTAAAACACACTTAGACAAAAAGTAAGTATTTCAATCTCACTCCCCAAAACCATGTTGGTATGATGTGCAAATTTCAAAGTATAATTCATGAATTAGTGTCTAAGCAACAATAAACAGAAAAGACTCTACTGTGGGATTGATTTTCACCATGTCCATTTGTTCTAATGTTTAAAATAATCTATGGATATGAACTTAAAAACGAAAATTTTAAACAAGACCCAAAAAATTAAAAATCTAAATTTTTATTTTCCCACCCCCAAACTTAAATCACACATTGTCCTCAAGGTGTGGAAAATAAATAGATGTGACAGCAAAAAGAAAGAAAATACCCTAAGAGAGAAAAATACATAAATAAATAAATAAAAATTAAAAAGAAATAAAGAAATAAAAACAATAAGAACAAAATAGCAAGAAAACGAACACACCTGGGAGGTTTCGAACGCAGGACCAGTAGCCGGGAATTGCTGAGTGCACTGACCAACACGGACAAGGGCAGACTTGTATCAAATCCAAGCAATTTCTACAATATAATTGGTGTAGCCACAACGGGTGTCATGTGGAAAGATCTAATTGCATCTCTGTTGGTTGTGAGAAAACTGGAAGTTGCAGACCCATTCATCTCAACGCTCTCACTTCTTCAGTTTGCTCAGAAAACGCAGGTTCGCGTTCTCGCCCTTCTTCATTTTTCTCAAGAACGCAAGGGCCTTGTCTCTCTATGGGGTGGAATTATCTGATGCACTTGAATCTTTATATGGTTTTTGAATTTCTTGACTCCTCAATTTCAGATATATCTCCATCCATGTCACCAGATGCTAACCTGTTCCAAGATGAAAGCAAGTTGAAGCCGAACTAGAGTCCATTCTCCACTAGTAAGGACCCCAGATCGGTACATCTTGTAGGTATGATTTCGAACCCTAGAATATATATATATATATATTGAAATTACGCCATCTGTTTGATTCCCAACCCAAATTTGAAATGACACCAGCTATGAGATGCTCCACTTGAATTGTCAAAGAATTGGAATCCCATGTGGCCAAGCTTGAAGTTGAGATTGGTGACTTCAAAAAGCTGTTGGAGAAGACGTTGTCTAATGGGATTTCGTCCAAAAAGCGTCACACCCCAACCCTCGGATTTACAAAACCTTGGGTTAAGACGTGATTCACAACTTAATTATAGAATTTAATAAAAACTATAACTAAAATGTGAAGAAAACATTTAAATAAATAAAATAAATATTTCACATAAAATATTCAGCAGAAACGCGTATGCACAATGTAGGAAGGTTGCAGATCCAAGAGAAGGTAGTCAGCACACAAGCTCAAAGGACAAAACAGCACAAAGCCCTGAGGACCCCCAATCCGTCCATCTCATAGGTATAATTTCGAATCCCTTGCATCTTTGAGTGAGCGCTTGTTAATTGCCTGAATTGCCAGCATAGTGTATATGTGGTGATGTTAATGTAGACTTGCTGCTGGGTGCATGATTCCAGTGTAGACTTGCTGCTGGGTGCAGGATTCCAGCCTAGGATTTTTTTTGCTTTTGATGTTTGTGGCTGATTGTTGTGTCTTTCCCAGTGTAGACTTGTTGCTGGGTGCAGGATTCCAGC